AGGTCCCATCTCTCTCTTTGCTTGCTGATCAGGATATAGCTCTCGGCTACTTCTCCAGCACAACACCTGCCTGTTGCCTGCCCCCTGCTCCCAAGGATGATGACCATGATGATAATAGCTTAGGCCTCTGTAAGTGTAAGCAAGCCCTGAGTGAAATGTTTTCTTTTATAGGAGTTGCCTTGACCATGGTGTCTCTTCACGGCAGTAGAACAGTGACTAGGACAATTTTGCACCTTCATGGTGAGGGAGCTGACTTTACCACTCTGTGGCCGCCCCAGGGTCCAAAATGGACCCATTGGCAGGAGGAGACTGACCCACCATCTGTGCAACCTGCTTAACCAGCGTTTCTTCCAAGGGGTTGCTGCACTTCTATTATTTGCTATGCCAAGCTGGCTGACTGCAGTCTCCAGATGACAACATAACAGAGCTCCTAATGTCAAGCCCCACTTCCCCGGGACGACCTAACCTATCAGCACACCCAGCTGGGACCCAGCGGGGAACTCACCCATGATCTTGGCGGCTGTGGACGCTCCAATGATGATGGACAGGTTGGGTGCAATGAAGGACATCCGGGACTCCACGTATTCATAGATGCGGTGCTTGGAGGCGTTCAGCTCCAGTGCCATGTCACAGGCCTCCTCCAGCCGCTCCAGCTCCTCATCCGACAGCTGCTGCCTGAGTTGGGACGTAGGTAGGAGTTGGGGCCAGCGCCCAGTTCTGCTGGACACACGTCTAACTGGTGTTCAGCCCCACCCATCCTCTCGGCTTTGTAGGCATGTGTGTTTGTGTGTGTTTGTGTGACTCTGGGGCTATCCCGAGTTCTATCAGCCTAGGGACCACGGTTCTCAGCCAGCAGCACCCTCGCCATCAATGCCATTCTGCCCGCTCTGGTCTCTGCTTCTAGTTGGCTGATGGTGGGCCTGGAGCACCTCACTGTGTGGTCCACGTACCCCTGGGTGGTGGAGGCGGTGACGCTGACAACCATGATGGTGGCATTGGTCAGGATTTGCTGGAGGTTCTCATTGTTCTTGCATTTGTCCAGGCTGTTGCCCAGCTCCTGGGGTGGGAAGGGGAGAAACAGAGAGACCGTAGTAACCCCAGAAGACGCTAGAAGCTCTTTTGTTCCAACACCAACACGGGTCCCCCCTTGAGGGACCCGGGAAAGCTAATACCGGAGACCTCTCTTGCCTTTCACAGGCTAATAACTTGGCTGCGTAAAGCACCAGCGCTGCCTGCTCGGCTCTGCTCTGCTGACCCAGAAGAGGAAGCTGGGCAAGTGGCCTCCGAGGATGACACGCTGCACTAAAGAAGCCTGCAGGAGTCACGGCGCGAGACAGAGGTCCTCTGCTACCACCGTGACCTGGACAGAGGTGGGGGCCCTGCTCTTTCCCCTCCTCCTGTCACCTCTCCCAGAGGAGCCCAAACCTTCCATGTCTGATGTGCTCCGACCTTTCTGACCTGTCAAGCGCCCCTCCCCGCCTCTTCTCACTTCCTCCTCGTTGGTTCCCACTCGGGACCTCAGCTCTTATCTAGCTGAGGCCTCTGCCTGTGTCAGCCTTCAGATGCCAGTTCAAAGGACACCTGGCCCAATGACAGCCAGAGGCAAGGGCCAGGCCAACGGGGATCCTCCCACAGGACCAAGGGGAGGGGAGCAAGCGACGTGTGTGTCATCCTTTCCAGCATCTGTCCCTTCCCACTGAGCCCCACTCATGCCTCGCCATCGTTTTCTAGACCCCGAGGCCTCATGGTCTCGTGGCCTCAGTCCTTCCGGGGCCAGACTCCTCTCCACTCACCTTGACCGTGCGGATGTAATCCAGAGCGTTGGGGACCAAGGATTCTAGCTCCGGGAATCTCTTCGAGTACTTATCCCGGATGAACTTATGGATAATGTCTAAAGCGGGCAGGGAGGGCGGGTGTCCACTTAGGAGGGGGCAGACTCTGCTGCTATCCCCAACACCCACGTCCACCTCTCTAGTAAACAACCCCAGATCTTGGGTTGGTGCATGGCATGAGGCCAGCATGAAATCTACATTTCCTAGCTGTCCCCAGGGCTATGTGCTGGCAGGAGTCTGCTCTAATGTCTACAAGATGTGAACTGAATTGGCATTTTCAGCTTGCAGACCACAGCCTTAAGGAAACAACCACACCCTGGCTTCCCTCCCCTTTTGCCGGTAGGAACTGGAAGTAAGGCAGTCACCCAGGAGCACGAAACTGGTGGCAGAGTCTGGCCGCTGAAGGGGCCAAAGGGTGAGTCTAGACCTGCTGCTTACTCGGGCTTTTAGGAAGGAGAATCCACTTTCTCTTTATGTAAACCTAGTCAGGGCAGTAGTCTAAGAAAGGCAAACAGAAGCAGTCCAGGTTCACGCGCGTTCTTCCCTCTGCGTCACGAAGCGCGAAGGGCACACGACAGGGCTGTCCCACGGCCCTTCCCATCACTCACTCAGCTCATTCTCTATCTCCACAGTCAGGTTGTTGGCATCCACAATGACTCGGTACTCAGGCGCTGCCTCCACTGGTCCCATCACTATGAAGAGGAAGGAGGAGGGCTGTGGAGGAGGGAGGGACACCCACCCCTCTCAAGTCACAGAGCTGGGGGAGAATGGAGCTGAACTGGATGGGATCAGAAAGGAAGGGCTGAGGCAGAGACAGGTGGATATCTGTGAGTTCGAGGCCAGCCTGGTCTACAGAGTGAGTTCCAGGACAGTCTCCAAAACAATACAGAGAAACCCTGTCTCGAAAAACCAAAAAAAAAAAAAAAAAAAAAAAGAAGAAAGGAAGGGCTGAAGCATGCACTAGGGGCTTGGAAACCTCCCCAGGATCCTTATTCCGGCCTCTCATCTCTCTCCTGCAGCCCATCCTCTGGGATAATCTAGTCTTGACCTCATCTTGCTCCGAAACTTTACCCTCCTGTGGCTCTCCAAAGCCCCGAGGCTGACGAGCGAGATCCTCTGACTGGCACTGGAGGTCCCCCATCTAGATGGAGGCCACACAAGGAGGAGAACAGGGCCCATGGTCCCCACACCGGCACCCTTGGTGCATACAGCACAGGAGCCCCTCCAGCGGGATCCGCTGACTCATCACTCCATGAAGTCTTTCTGCCTTCCTGCCTCGTCCTCAGACACTCAAGGCTTTCTCACTCCTCAGGCCTTCATGAACACTGTGCCATCTCCCTGCAATGCTCCTTCCTTGAGTCTGTTTCTAGAAACCTTTTTTTTTTTTAAATATATGTGGTTTCTCACTTCTAAAAATTTTTATTTTATGTGTGTGTTTTGCCTGATGTACATAATGTATGTACAATGCATTATGGGAACTGGAAGATTTCAGAGCTCCAAGAAGTAGAGTTACAAATACTTATGAGCTATGTGGATGCTGAGAACAATCCCAAGTCCTCTGGAAGAGCAGTAAATACTTTTTCTTTCTTTTTGGTTTTTCAAGACAGGGTTTCTCTGTGGCTTTTTGAAGTTGTCCTAAAACTAGCTCTTTTTTTTTTTTTTTTTTTTTTTTTTTGCTTTTTCGAGACAGGGTTTCTCTGTATTGTTTTGGAGGCTGTCCTGGAACTCGCTCTTGTAGACCAGGCTGGCCTCGAACTCACAGAGATCCACCTGTCTCTGCCTCCCCAGTGCTGGGATTAAAGGCGTGCGCCACCAACCACCCAGCAATACACATTTTTGAGACAGGGTTTTCCCCGTCCAACCCTGACCTGACTATGCAGCCGAGGCTGGACTTGAACTTATGCACCTCCAGTCTCAGCCTCCCAAGTGGCTGAGGTTATAAGCAACCATCGACATGCCTGGGTACAATGTGGTATGCTTTCAGAGGGCTGGTGACTGGGATGAAAAGAAGAGGGGGAAACACTCGGTTTTCAAAACCCCAAGGAGCAAAAGCGCCACGGGGCCAGGGGAACGGACAGAGGGAGGCGTGAGGGCGGAGAGGTACCTTCTGAAGCTTTGGCTTGTTTGCTGATATACTCCTCAATCTTCATCATGATCTCAGCAAACTGACGGGGAAGCGGGGCACAGTCAGAAACTAGACTCTCAGGGAGAAGACCGGCCGTTCCTACCCACCCTCCTCCCAGGAGCAGTCGCTTATAGGGACCGTCTCACCATCTTGCTGTCCCAGAGCTTGGCAATGCTCTTGACCGAATCCCCGGAAAGATCCAGCTGTGTCTCCTCCTGGACATCCTCGATGGCCGGTTCCTCCTCCTCCTCGCCATAGCTTCCTCCTTCCTCCTCTTCCGCTGCCTCCTCGAGGTCAGCCAAGAGCTCATCTGCCAGGGACATCCCGAGGCCTGTGGGAAAGTGAGACCGAGGTTCCCCGATGCCGCTGCACCTTGACTCTCTGTCCCCTTCACGTTACCAGAAGGAGCGCCTCCTCCCCGGTCCCCCCGAGGTCTCCAAGGCTTCCTACTCTGTTCCCGGAGGACGTCCTCCGGCTCCCACACACACAACCCACAGCGCACCCCTCCAGGTGCCACCCGACCTGGAGACGCTTCTCCACGCCTCTGGGGCCTTCGCACAGCCGCCTGCCTCCTCTGCCTAACCTGGCTCTTCCCCTCGCCCCGCCTTCAAGCTCGCACACTACCCCGATCTGGCTCACACGCCCCATTCCAGTCTGAGCAACGAGGTGATTCAATGACGCCCTGTGCACGTCGTTTCCAAGGCGCTTCGTGCGTTCACGATGACTTTAGGCTACGGTTTGAGTTGGCCTCTCCTCCCGGACCCAGCAGCAGTCTGGCTTCCCCGCCCTCCCTTCCCCTCCATCGCACTCACCGCTTAGCTCCTCTCACGACCGTTTCTTAAGAAATCCGCTTTTTTTCCCCTCCAACCCCAGAGCTGCCGGCGCTCTTTGATGACGTCTTACAAGGCGCCGGCGATCTGCGTTCTGATTGGCCGCTTCCCCGGCAGCGTTTGGACCACAACTTTACTTAGCGGCGGCCTCGCTGGGGCCGGCAACCGGGAGAGCCGGGGAGTGGGGCGGGCTCGGGCGAGTGCGTGCGACGTCGTGGGCCGGGCCTACGACACGGCGACGACGAGGAGGCAGAGACCAAGACGGCGACGACGCAGACGATCGGCGGAGGCGCTGAAAAGATAAACCCGGGGCTTCGAGGCGCCTGCGGGTCGGGCGCAAACCACAAGTCCCAGGGGATCCTGAGCGTGCCTGTGTCGCAAGGCCTGATGGGACGGGTAGTTTGGCGCCCGGCTCCACCTCTCTGAGGCTCGAGGTCTCTCCTGACCCTAGAAATGGAGCTGGAGCAGAGAGAGGGGTGAGTGGCTGAGCCCTGTGTACACCAGAACTCGGAAAACCCAGGCGCGTGATGTGCAGCGGCCGGCCTTAGCGATCCCAGGAGGATGGGGGTTGTGGCTTGTGCTTTCTCTTTGGAATCTTTTTGGGGTGCTGGGGGCTGTCCCGGAGCACCCTGGGGGCGGGAGGAGGATTAGGATTTTGTGTGCCCTCATGGATCTGAAAGCAGGAGAGCGTGGACTCTAAAGGTCCGAGGCTGGGGTCTGATTCCTGGGTGATAGGGAGGAGGGTTAGGGCCTGGACCCCTGGATGTGAGGAGGGAGGCTGGGGTCTGATTCCTGGGTGATAGGGAGGAGGGGTAGGGCCTGGGCCCCTGGATGTGAGGAGGGAGGCTGGGGTCTGATTCCGGGGTGTTAGGGAGGAGGGTTGTTGGGGCCTCGACCCCTGGGTGTGAGAGAGGAAGGCTGGGCCCTGGCCCTGAGCGTCTGAGGAGGAACTGGAGAGCCCGAGTGCCCGGCTCCTGAAACCTCTCGGCCCCACAGGACCATGGCAGCCGTGGGATTTGAAGAGTTCTCAGCGCCACCAGGCTCAGAGCTTGCTCTGCCTCCCCTGTTTGGAGGCCACATCCTGGAGAGTGAGCTAGAGACGGAAGTGGAGTTTGTGTCCGGTGGTCTGGGTGGTTCGGGACTCCGGGAGCGGGATGAAGAGGAAGAGGCAGCCCGGGGTCGCAGGCGTCGCCAGCGGGAACTAAACAGAAGAAAGTACCAAGCTCTGGGTCGGCGCTGCCGGGAGATCGAGCAGGTAGGTGAGTGTGGATTCCCATTTGGGGGTCCTCAGGCTTAAACTGTCTCCTCCTCCTCCCCTTCCTCCCCCTCCTCCTCCTAGTTTCCTTCTCTTTTCGTTTCCTCTTGTACTAGGACGAGTAAATAAACAGATCCATGTGGATCAGACTGCCCCGCACCCTGAGGAAGGGTTTACTCTGGCTTAGAATTTGGCAGGGGAGGCATGGCATGGTGGGGGGAGAGTGGAACAGCTGATCGTCTATAATCAGGAAGCAGAGAGAAACAGAGACGAGTATTGGTGCTCGGTTGACCTTTTCTTTTCATTAAGTTCAACTACTTGGGAAGGGTTATGAGGTCTGACATTATTGGAGGAGGTGTGTCTCTGGGGGGCGGGGCTTTGAGGTTTCAAAAGCTCGTGCCAGGCCCAGTCTCTTTCTCTGCCTGCTGCCTGCAGATCGGGATGTCAGAGCCCTGTCTGTCTGCTTCCCACCATGAGGATAATGGACTAGCCCTCTAAAACTGCTGTCTGTTACACGATCTGCCTTGGTCGTGGTCTCTCTTTACAGCAATAGAACAGTAACTAAGGAAGGGGGTTATTTCAGGTCCGTAGTGAAAAGTCGTGTAAGCGTTCATTCAGCAAGGTTTGACTGAGGCTCTACCAGGCAGGCGCCGCTAAGGCCTGGGGGACACAGGCACATTGCTGTCACTGGGGAGCTTATGTTGTGGGTGGGGAGACAGACAGTAAGCAAACCAAGTAAAGAAAATGTGGATGTGAAGAAAAAGTAAAGGAGCCAGGTGGTGGTGGTGGCCCGTGGCTCTAATCCCGGCACTTAAACCACAGTGGAGACAGGTGGATCTCTGTGAGTTCGAGACCAGCCTGGTCTATAGAGCAAGTTCCAGCCAGGACAGGCAGGGCTGCACAGAGAAACCCTGTCTTGAATGCCCCCCCCATAATAAATGAATAAATAAAGAAAAAGAAAAAATTAAGCTGAGCCAGAGCTCTTCGAGTTTTAGGCCAGCCGTTGCTACATAGTGAGCTGCATAAATAAATGAGTGAATGAATGAATAAATTGTAGGTGTGTGTGGCCAGGGTTCAGGTGTGATAGCCGGGGAAGCCGTGTCGCAACTTGGTGGTGAGGCGACTCCCTCAGTAGGAGACATTTTAGCTAGAAACTGACTTTGGGGGAAGGCCAAAATAGAAGGGAGACAAAGTAGAAAGGCCGTCCCTGGACCAGGAGTGTGGTCTGGGGAGTCAGGCCAGCCCCTGGCACTTGGTGAGGAGGGCGGGTAGCATCAACTCACAGTGGACAGGAGAAAGTAGTAACTTAGTAGGGCCTCGGGCCCCAGAATGGCTCCATAGAGCCGGGCGCATGGGAGCGCGGCATCAGAAACCCTGAAGGACTGAATAGGGGCGTGATGGAGTCCAGCTGACCTGGGCGTCTCTATTAGTTACTTTTCTGTTGCCGTGGTAAAATGCCATGGCCAGGGCAACTTAAGGAAGAGTTTCTTTCAGCCTAGGGTTCCAGAGGGTTCCAATGCAAAATGGTGGAGCAGAGAGGCATCTGGAAGCTGAGGCCTCACATCTCGAACAGCAAGCATGAAGCAGAGAAACAGCCCTGGGAATGGTGTGAGGCTTTTGAAACCTCGGAGCCCTCGCCAATCCCCCCACCCCACCCCTGCCCAGTGATGTCCTTCCTCTGGTATGACCACACCCCCTAGACCTCCCCAGACAATGCCGACGTATGGGACACAAGTCTTCAAATGCCGGAGCCTCTGAGGACAGCCCTCATTCAAACCACTGCGTTTCCTCCGCCTCCCTGCAGGTCAACGAGCGAGTCTTGAACAGGCTCCACCAGGTGCAGAGGATAACTCGGAGACTCCAGCAGGAGCGCAGGTACCGTTCTGCGTGCCCCGGGGGACCCAGCGCCTCCGCTCCCACGCCTTCCCACCACCGTCCACCCGGTGTGCCCTCTCTCCTCAAGTCACAGGGTCAAAGCTGAGGTGAAGGGCCCAGAATGAGATAAATGGAGAAGGGGGATCGGGTGGTGGAGAGAAGAGCTGGGACCGGGTACGCGGTCAGACTGAGTGTTTTCCGTGCGAGTGGGGAGGACGGCGGGAAGGAGGCAGCACACGGAGCTCACCCGCTGTATCTCAGAGCAGCTATGTCTCAGAGCTGCGCCCTCCAGCCCTAAGGGTGGCAGCAGCATCAGGAGGCTGCAGCGAGGCTTCAGCTAGAGTTCTTCGCTGTGGCTAGCTCAGGTCGGCACCTCCTGCCGGGCACTGGTGTCACACCGTGACCGCAGGGTGTGGGCCCTGTAGCCAGCTGCCCGCCTGGTATCCCATTGGCGCAGGGACAAGCTTACGTTTCGGAGCTCCGTGAGGCCGAGTCCACCCAGCTCTTCTCAGCTCCACGGCCTGGCACATTCGGCCTTTAGAACACCGTCCTGGTGTCCCGGTCCCCCTAGGCTGTTCCTTCTCAGCCATCTCTGCCTATCTGTCTTCACATCAGCGCCGCTGCGACGACCCCCCCCCCCATCCTCCTCACCCAGTCAGTTCCCAGGATTCATTGTCAGGCATGGTAGCTGCCAGCTCCTGGTGGCTTTTCTTCCCCCCTTGTATTTGATAAATTAAAGTTTAAATTCCCAGACTGGAGAGGTGGATTTGGTGGTTAAGAGTGTTTACCGCTCTCGCAGAGGACCCGGGTTCAATTTCCACCACCCACATCGTGGCTCGCAGCTGTCTGTACCTCCAGTCTGGGGATCCAGCTCCCTCGCCTGGCCACTGTGGCCATCAGGCATGTGTGAGGTATACATGTATACAGGGAAAAAAACCCCTCAAACTTAAATGACAGAGCAGAGAGAGAGAGAGACAGACAGAGAGAGACAGACAGACAGACAGAAACAGACAGAGAGAGAGAGGGAGAGAGCGGGCACGCGCTGGGGATATAGTTCAGAAGTAGTAACGTGCTTGCGTGCTGCCTGGAATCTCCCAGTAAGGGACTGGGGTTTGGCTCATTAGTGGACCACCAACCTAGAGTCCCCAGGAAGGGCTGGGCTCAGCAGTACAGCATTTGCCTAGTATGTGCATGGCCCTGAGTTCAGTCTCTCTGTCCCCCTGCCTCCTTCTTTAATTTTATTTATTTTACATCCCAACCACAGTTTCCCATTACTCCTCTCCTCCCAGTCACACCCACCTCCACCCTTCTGTCCCCCACCCCTCCCTTTCTGTTCAGGAAAGGGCAGGTCTCCCGTGGATATCAACAAAACATGGCATATCTAGTAGCTGTGACACTAAGCACCTCCCCGTGTATTAAGGCTGGACAAGGCGACCCAGTATGGGGAATAGTGTCTCAGAAGCCAGCAAAAGGGTTAGAGACAGCCAAAGCATTAGGGACAGCCCCTGCTCCCACTGTTAGGAGTCCTACTCAAGAACCAAGCTGCACAGCTGTCACACACATGTAGAGGGCGTAGGTTGGTCCCATCCGGGCTGCCGGGTTGTTAAGACCCTGTGAGCTCCTATGAGCCAGGTTAGCGGATGCTGTGCGTTTGAGTATGTCAGAATAACACTGGACATCATTACATTGATGTTTTTATCCAGTCCTGTTTGGCTCTATCCTAGGTCTCTGCATCATCCAGCCTCTGGGTCCTGGAGCCCCAGGCAGTGTCGGGGGGTGCGGGGGTAGGTTTGCTCTCCCGGTGTGGGTCTCAGGCTGGACCAGTCATCCGTTGGTTGACCATTCCCTCTATGCTACTGTTACCCAGCACATCCCACAGGCAGGACAGAGGGTATATGACTGGATTGGTGTCCCAGTCCCTCCACTGGAAGTCCTGCCTGGTCACAGGAGATGGCAGGTTGAGGCTGCTCTATTGCTAGGAGTCTTAGCAAGGATCACCCTTGTAGATCATCCTTGGGAATTACCCTTAGGCCAGGTTTCTACCGTTCCGCTAGTGTCTTTCAGTATTTCTCCCCTCACCCCCCCCCCATGTTCACATCACCATCCTCCTTCAGTCCACCCACAAAGCACCTCCTATTTCCCACTCCCAGAGAGATCTGAGTATCCGTCTTGAGCCCACCTTGTTCCCTAGCATCTGTGGGTCTGTGGTTGATAGCGTGGTTATCCTTTACTTTATAGCTAATATCCACTTAGGAGTGAGCACATTTGTATATAAGAGGGCTACTGATTTTTTGAGTTAATCTTGTATCCAGCTACTTCAACAAAGTTGTTTATCAGCTGTAGGTATTCCCTGGTAGAATTTTTGAGGTCACTTATGTATACTATCATGTCATCTGTAAATAGCAATGCTTTGATTTCTTTTCCAGTTTGCTAAATTTCCCATTCTTGTCCAGTTCTCCTTTTGTCTCATTGCTCTAGCTAGAACTTCGAGTACTATATTGAATAGATATGGAGAGAGTGGACATCTTTGTGTCATTCCTGATTTTAGTGGAATTGCGTCGAGTTTCTCCATTTAGTTTGATGTCGACATCAGCTTATTGTATATTCCTTTATTATATTTAGGAATGTTCCTTGTATCCCTGATCTCTCCAAGACCTTTATCATGAAGGGGTGTTGGATTTTGTCAAAGGCTTTTTCGGCATCTGAGACGATCATGTGGATTTTTTCTTTCAGTTTGTTTATATGGTGGATTACATTGACAGTCTTCCATTGAACCTTCCATGAGTGTCTGGGATGAAGCCTACTTGATCATGGTGAATGATCGGTGAATGATCTTTTTGTTGTGTTCTTGAGTTCGGTTTACCAGTATTTTATTAAACATTTTTGCATCAGTGTTCATGAGGGAATATTGGTCTGTAATTTTCTTTTGTTGTTAAGTCTTTGTGTGGTTTGGGTATCAGAGCAATTGTGACTTCATAAAAAGAATTTGACAATGTTCCTCTGTTTCTATTTTGTGAAGAGTATTAGCTCTTCTTTGAAAGTCTGCTTGGAACCATCTTGCTCTGGCTCTGTGCTTTTTTTGGTTGGGAGACTTAATTGACTTTTTTTCCCCTCGCAGCTTTTTCCCCCTAGACAGGATTGTTCTGGGTAACAGTCCTAGTGAAAAGTTTCTACACCCCATAAGCCTCTTCGCCAGTAGAGCAATCCAAATCAGACCAAATCAAACCAAATTTAAAAAGCCCACGCTTAATGGATACAATTCTCCCAAATGGCCTTCCAACCCCCCAGAGAGGAAAAAGGAAAGAGAAACCAGAAAGCCACGAGTCTGGTTTCTGGGGGGCAGTTTAAATATCCTGTGGGAGTGGTCTTGAGCATCTCTGGGGCAGGGGTCATCATTTGTCAGATCTCTTGAGATGTAGCAGGGTTTGGAGGGAGATAAAGGGGGAAGCCTTGGGTGGAACTTCCACCATAACAGTCCAGACTCTTTGGTTGTATGGATGCCAGGGGCTGGGTGAAGCTTCCACAGTAACACCTGTCCTGGAAGTCACTCTGTAGACCAGGCTGGTCTTGAACTCACAGAGATCGCCTGCCTGTGCCTCCCAAGTACTGGCATTAAAGGTGTGCGCCACAACCACCCTGCATCCCTTGCAGCTTTTAATATTCTTTCTTTCTTCTGTATGTTTAGTGTTTTGATTACTATGTGACTTGGGGATTTTCTTTCCTGATCCGATCTTTTGGTGTTCTGTAAGCTTCTTGTACTTTTATAGGCATGTCCTTCTTTAGGTTTGGAAAGTTTTCTTCAATGATTTTGTTAAACATATTCTCTGGCCGGGTGTTGGTGGCACACGCCTTTAATCCCAGCACTTGGGAGGCAGAGGCAGGTGGATCTCTGTGAGTTCGAGGCCAGCCTGGTCTACAAGAGCTAGTTCCAGGACAGCCTCCAAAGCCACAGAAAAACTCTGTCTCGAAAAACAAACAAACAAACAAAAAAACATATTCTCTGGGTTTTAAGTTGGGATTCTTCCTCTATTCTTTTTGCTCTTAGATTTGATTTTTTTCATTGTGTTTCAGATTTTCTAGATGTTTTGTGTTACAAGTTTTTTTTTTTTTTAACATTTTCTTTTTGGTTTTTTGAGACAGGGTTTCTCTGTATTGCTTTGAAGGTTGCCCTGGAACTCACTCTGTAGACTAGGCTGGCCTCAAACTCAGAGATCCGCTTGCTGGGATTAAAGGTGTGAACCACCAAGGCCCTGCCTAACATTTTCTTTGAATGATAATCTAGTTCTTCTATCTTATCTTCAGTGAATGAAATTCTTTCTTCTATCTCTTGTATTCTATAGATGACGCTTGCATCTGTAGTTCCTGATCACTTTTCCAGAATTCCCTGTTTGTGTTTTCTTTGTTGCTTCTATTTTGGTTTTCCTGTGTTTTCAGTTTCCTTCAGGTGTTTGGGTTTTCTTGGCATTCTTTAAAGGAGTTATTGGTTTCCTCCTTGATTTCTGTAAGCCAGTTTTTCATTTCCTTTAAGGACCTCTGTCATCTTCATACAGTTGTTTTTAAGGCCATTTTCTTGTGTTTCAGTTGCGTTGGAATACTCAGGTCTTACTGTCTTTGGATAGCTGGGATCTGGTGGTCCCATGTTGCCTTGGCTGTTGCTGATTGGTTGGGTTCTTAAACTGGTGTTTAGGCATCTGGGATGATTATAGTTCTAGGTCCTGATTCTAAGCTTGTCTTTGTTGGATGGGTGTTTTGTTCCTTTTGGGTCTTCTAGTCTTTGTGGCCTGGATTTTTGGCTGTCCTGGAACTCTCTGTGTAGACCAGTGTGTCCTCGAACTTGAAGGTCCACCTGCCTCTGCCTCCCAAGTGCTGGGGTTAAAGGTGTGCAATTGTTTTTAATTAGTTTATTTTTAAAATCTTTTGTGTCACTGGTGGTGGTGGCACAACACCTTTAATCCCAGCACTCAGGAGATACAGGTAGGTGGATTTCTCTGAGTTGGAGGTCAGCCTGGTCTACAAAGCAGAGATAGCCAAGGCTATTACACAGAGAAACCCTATCTCAGAAAAACAAACAAGTTTGAGCCTCCTAGCTCAGCGGTGCAATACTCGTGAGGCATGTTCAAAGCCCTGGATTTAGTCTTCATTACCAACAACAAAACTGGAATTCAACTGAATGTTCGCCAGATGCTGACACCGTGTAATTTAGGGAATAGTCTTTGGAATGTACAACTACAGCACCTAGCCCAGACAAGGATGTCGACTTATCTTTGACACTGTGGGTGAGGCAGGTTCCCAGGCTATGCTCTCAGGCTCCAGAGCTCCAAACCTTTCTAGTCTGGGACAAGTTTAGATTGAAGTAAAGGGAGATCTGGACTTTTCTCTGTTACTTCCCTCCCCCAGAAGATGCCCAGTGCCTACATTTCTGTCCTCACAGGTTCCTCATGAGGGTGCTGGACTCTTACGGGGATGACTACCGGGCTAGCCAGTTCACCATCGTGTTGGAGGTGAGCTCCGCTCTCCAGGCAGGTTGGGGTGACTAACGTGTACAGTCCAGTTAAGTCTTTAACCGCCTCCAATTCTCATTTTGCCAGGATGATGGCAGCCAAGGTACAGATGTCCCCACCCCAGGCAATGCTGAGAATGAGCCTCCAGAGAAAGAGGGGCTTTCCCCACTCCAAAGGACACCTGCACCCTTAGACCCCAGCAGCCCAGCCCCTGGCGAGGGGCCCAGTGGGCGGAAGAGGCGGCGGGCACCCCGGGTGGGAGCCTCGTTGACCCCAGAACTGGCCCCCGTGCAGGTGGGAGCCGAGGGCTGGGGCCAAGGCGTGGTAAGAACCCTGAGCTGGGCCTGAGGGGCCCGGGGCTGGGCGAGGGCTGGGCAGGGTGGCAACAGGATTGAGGACGGGAAAGAAGTTGGAAAATTTAGGGTTAGAGTTTGAAGAATGTGACTAGACGCAGGAACAGAGGGAGAAGAGGAAGTCAGTTGAGGGAAGCTACTCAGGGTTGCCTGAAAGTGAGAATGGCCTGGGAAACCAGGGCCCAGAGGCTGATTGGGTGCGTGGGTCGGGGTGGGGTTTGTCTCCTAAGTCTCCATACCCACTCACATCTGATTCTCTTTCCAGATTAAGGTTGAGGACGACTTTGGCTTTGAAGCAGATGAGGCCTTGGATTCAAGTTGGGTTTCTCGAGGGCCGGACAAACTGCTACCCTACCCTACCCTAGCCAGCCCACCCTTTGACTAATTCTCTCTCCCCAATAAACAGACCCCCCACCACCACACGTACACTTGTCCAGGCCACTGTCTGCTGCTCCCATCCCTGAAACACTCAGGTTCTGGGATTGGAGGCCAAGGCGGAAGATGTTTTGCTAGTGTGAGGCCACCCTGGCTACACACTTGAGTTCCAGGTCAGCCTAGGCTACATATACAGTGAGACTTCCTTCTCTCAAAGCAACAACAAAAAGACTCTGCGGTTGGTTTTCAGTTTTATTGGGGGGCAACAGGGAAGTAGTCCATCAGCAGTATTCACAGGTTCTTCAGCCATTCCAGGCTTGGGCCCTGAGGGTCCTGAGGGTGGCTGGGCACATCGGGCATGTTCCCATTATCTCGAACAGGTACTATAAAACAAGAGGATGAGCCACTGAGACCAGCAGGTCCCTAGTGCCCTGTAGAGAGCAGCCTAGTCTGTCTCTGTATTCAGACAGTACAGACGCCAGGTGAGAAGGAGAGGCATGAGGGCCGGAAGTGCAGCAAGGTTATTAGGCAAGCAAGGGAGAGATCCCAATGGGTGGAGGAACCCAGAGACCCCGAGAGACAAACTCCAGGCATGGTAAAGGTATAAAGAACGTCCGAACGCAGCAGGGACTCTGCGACACAGCTGTCTGCCCCGCCCCACAGCGCAGGCGGCTCACCTGGGTAGTTGTAGGGTGTGGCCTTGTTGATCATGGTGGCATACTTGGTGTAGGGGCTGATTATGGGCATAATTATAGCTGTGGAGACAGACATGAGTGTGAGACCCAAGGATGCAGCGGCTCTCGAGGTGGGAAAGGGGAGCAACAGCCCTGGCCAAGGGGAGCGGGAAGGGCCGGCCTACCCAGCCAGGCCCTTTGGTAGTTCCCTCAGCACTCCAGCATCCCCACTTAACAGGTCAGTGTGACTCCTGAGACTGGGGAGCAGCGGAGAGGATGGAGCCTAACACTCATGAACACATGAGGCCCACAGGCTGGTCACAGGTTGATAGCTTTTGGATTAGCCCATGTGGGCTACAGCCAAGAGTCTTCAGGAGTGGAGGCGGTGTATAACGGGAACGTTAATAGGCCAGTGTTGCTGACATAAGGTAATAATTTCACATCTTCAACTGCACGTGTTTAAAAGGGGCTGGAGATGGCTCGGTAAAAAAGAACGTGTCGCCTTTGCAGAGTTCGGCTCCTAGCACCTAGATTGGATGCTCACAACTTCTGCAACTGTAGCTCCAGCTCCAGGGTATCCAAGAAACTCCCACACACATGTGGCATACACAAACACCCATACACAAAAATCTACTTTGAAAGGGCTGGAGAGATGGCGCCTCAGTTAGGAGCACTCGCCGATCTCCCATCGGACTCCAGAGTTCAATTCCCAGCAGCCGTGTCCCTTAGCTCACAACTGTAATTCCAGCTTCAAAGGGTCATGTATGTGTCTTCCTGGACTCCACAGGCCATGCACTTTTAAAGATTTGAGGGGTGCTGGTGACTTATGCCCGTAATAGCAACACTTGAGAAGCCAAGGCAGACTGCTTTGAGTTTGAGGCCAGCCTGAGCTAAATTGTGTGTTTCCCCCTAGAAAAAAGAAAACTACAAAGGTACAAAAAAAAAACATCCTAGGAAGGATTTAACCATGGAGTTGTAAAAGTACGTCTACCTGCTGCCAAAACTGACAACCTGAGTTAAATCCCTAGGACTCAGAGTCACACACACACACACACACAACCTAAGTTAAATCCCTAGGATTCAGACAGACAGACACACAGATAGACAGACACACACACACCCTAAATTAAATCCCTAGGATTCAGAGTCACACACGGGGGCGTTGATGGCGCATGCCTTTAATCCCAGCACTCCGGAGGCAGAGGCAGGCGATGGATCTGTGTGCGTTCGAGATCAGCCTGGTCTACCGAGCGAGTTCCAAGACACAGAAACCCTGTCTCAAAAAACAAACAACCGGATCGTGTACACCTCAGATCATTATCCCAACATATTTTCTAATTGAAACCGCATGCTTTGGAGCATCCTAGCTCATTTGAAGTCATGGCGGTGGGTTCTAGAACTTCACTATCACACTTCGTTCGGAATAACTGCGGGACTGCTATGCCTGCCAACACCCCCCTCCCCCCGCCCCCAGACCTTCAGAACCAGAATTTGCTTAACAGTCGGCTCCCACCCCCACCCCCTCCAGGGCTTGGGCGCATCTGAACTGCGAACCGCCCTGTCCCACAGCAGGTTCCTCGCCGGGGAGGCTTGCAGGGAGATTTGCCGACGACAGACTTCCCCGAGGAATTCTGCACGAGCAAGGTTGCAGGTGCACCTCTTGCGTGGGTGTGCGTGGGGCGGCGAGGGGGGCTACAGCAATGTCGGGGGACGCAAGACCAACTGTGGAATGCTGATGACCTCAAGGAGGACGGACATGGGCTCCCGGGGCACTCACCCAGGCCCCAGACTGAGAAAGACACCACCAGCACCGGATGCTCCGCCCAGGCATTCTTGAGGAAGGCGCTGAGTCCTGGAGAGGTGGGAGAAGAGTCACCCTTGGGGGGGCTGCTGCTGCGGTGACCTCTAACCCTCTCGTACCACCCCGGCCCTGCAAGAGCACCCTCGTGGCCGCCGCGCCCCTCCTCTGGGACGGACCCCACCGCGCCCCCAGAGCTCTCCTGAGCCTCGGTCGCGGCTCAGCCCACCGCTCCCCGGAACTACCTGAGCCCCGAGCACCCCAGGGCCCAGTACTTACTCGCCGCCATCTTGGTCTTGCAGGCGACTAGGGCGCGGAGGTCTCTGGGAGTTGTGGTCCCTTTCCTTGCGTGAGGCTCCGCCCCCTGGGCCGGGCCTTTCAGAGTAGGAAGGCGAGGGCGTGGAGCCTGGCGGGAGTTGTAGTTCCAGAGTGAGGCTCAGCCGACTCAAACTAGAACAGAGAAACTTGGCAGCAAAGATTTAAACCACGGGGACTTTGCACACCTGCTGGTCTCAACGTTTTATTTTAGCTTTAAAAAAATGCATCAAAGCCAGGCGTTGGTGGTGCACGCCTTTAATCCCAGCACTCCGGAAGCAGAGGCAGGCGGATCTCTGTGAGTTCGAGGCCAGCCTGGTCTACAAAGTGAGTTCCAGGACGGCCTTCAAAGCAACAGAGAAACCCTATCTCGAAAAACAAAACAAACAAACAAAAAAATGCATCAAAAGAGTAACTTTGGCCGGACGTTGGTGGTGCACGCCTTTAATCCCTGCACTCAGGAGGCAGAGGCAGGAGGATCTCTGTGAGTTCGAGACCAGCCTGGTGCACAAGAGCTAGTTCCAGGACAGCCTCCAAAGCCACAGAGAAACCCTGTCTCGAAAAACCAAAAAAAAACAAAAACAAAAAAACAAGAAGACCAAAAAAGGGGGAAAAAAGGAGTAACTTTGAGTTCTCCCGCAAGAAAGTCCGTTTCACTTTAAAACCACAACTGGACATCCCTCATTCTGGAAGGTCTAAATTGATACCAAATAGGTTAAGGACTGTCTGGGTCTTACGTTACCAGCGTGCAGCTCCCCCTCCCGCCCTTTGGTTTCGCTGGAGACTGAAACCATAAACCACCGAGCCACGCCTCCAGCCAGCCCCTCGTGCTCTGAACCACGCCCCCAGGCTCTAACTGGCGGATTCTAGGCAAGCCCTTTGCTGTGGGCTGCCACCTTTTTACGCCCCTGCCCTGGTCTTTCTGTTTGTTTAGGTTTTGCGTGACAGGGTTTCTTTGTGTAACTTTGGAGCCTGTCCTGGCACAAGCTGGCCTCGAACTCACATAGATCCAAGTGTTGGGATTAAAGGGTTATGCCACCACTGCCCGGCCTGCCCTGCCTTTAGTTTTTTATTTTGCGACTGAAATCAGGGCAGGTCCATCTGCCACCGAGGCACGCCCCCAGCCCCTCTAGCTCAACGTCTTAACCTCTCCCCCAGGCTTCATCTGGTGGATTCTAGGCAATCCTTTCCTGTGAACTGTCACGTTTTCGTGCCCTGTCTTTTAGTTTTTATTTTGAGACAAGGTTTTATTAAATGGCTCAAGTTGGTCCCGCAAGCTTTGAACTTGTTGAACTTGGGGTCCTCTTGCTTCGGCTTTCCAAAGTAGGTGGGATTACAAGCCTGAGCCTCCCAAGAACGTGCACATCACAAAAAGAAAAAGAAAAGAAAAAAAAGAAAAGAAAGAAAGAAAGAGTATCTGGCTTGAGTAAGTGAGACACCCGGGACTCCGGGGCTGTCAGGCGGTGATGGTCTCTGTGCCTTCTCTTTTTCACCAGGACAGCGTATATTGTGAGCAAGGATATTTTTCCCTTTCCTCCTCTTTTTTTTTTTTTTTTTTTCTTTTCTCAACACCTAGGCTAGAGCACACCCGGAAAGCAGTCTCTCTTAGTACAACATTCCCAGCCCCCCTCCCCTACTTTTAAGTTGAATTAATGAACATCAGAGGTCATGACTGTTCCCTTGCAACTTTTTCCAAGACAGCGGGGCTATGACACAGTTACCCAGGGGCCTCCACCTGACTCCTCTCTTCCCTAAACAGGGCTCTCACATGGCTTTCTGGTGTTGCTTCATTCCCTCGGCAGGCAGAAGGCAGGACCAGTCTTTTCCGCCTTTTCCGGAGAGTGCCCGCCATGATCCTGTCGCTGATCCTCCAGCTGTTGACTCTCTGTGAGCTGTCGCTCCCCTGCGTGGGGGTGGGTCCTTGGCTGGGCTGAGAGCTGAGGCTGGTCGTCTGGAATTCAACATCCAGTTTAGAAAAAGGCGTCGGGACTGGTACCCAGATACCCGAGTCCTAAGTGGGAGGAGACAGGCTGCTGGGTCTGGGGTGAGGTTAGGTTTCTCTGGATCTCCAGGAAAGTTAAGTGGTATCTAGGGTCAAGGAATACTCAGTTCTCACGGCAGAGGGACCGGACTCCCGCATTGGAAAGAGGAGGGTATCCAGACTTCCAAACCCCAAGGGGGCGCAAAGGTCCGCTTGAGTCAGACCACTGGCTTCTTAAATATCTGGGGAGTGGAAGTTTTGCTGCATCCTTGAAAAGACGGGGATAGGAGTCTTAGTTTCCGGAAGGAAAAGCGAAGCTGTGCAATCAGAGTCTAGGGCTCCCGATGAGCGAGAACTGGTAGTCACAAAGCCTTGTGAAGAGCTGACTCCTAACCTTCTGCAGGGCCTGCGTGTCGTGGGGACTTGACGCTAACCGGTGAGTGGCACACTCCAAATGCTCTTTATGCTGCTCACATCCGTCTCCAACAGCTCATTTCATTCTGATGCCCAGCTTCACCTACATTTCTTTATCTCCCTCTCCTCCTCCCCTTCTCTTCTTCTCCTTTTTATCCATTGACGCCCACCTCCCTTATTCCTTTTCTCCTGTCTCCTTTCCTTCGAGACTGGGTTTCTCTGTGGCTTTGGAGGCTGTCCTGGATCTAGCTCTTGCAGACCAAGCTAGTCTCGAACTCACAGAGATCCTCCTGTTTCTGCCTCCCGAGTGCTGGGACTAAAGGCGTGCGCCACCAACGCCGGGCTCCTTCTTCCTCTTACTTCTTTCCATTCCGTCTTCCCCCCCTCCCCACGTCTTCTCCTCTCTCCTCCATTCCTTTCCTCCTTTCCCCCTTTCCTCTCCTCTCCCTTCCCTTTTCTTCATCCCTTTAGTGATCATTATAGGTGAGTATAGAAAACCATGAATATGGATATTAGGGAGCCCTAAACTAGACCATCATCTTTTTGTTGACGTTTTTATTTTAAAACAATCTTTTCTCAGTTTACATACCACTCCCTCCCACTCTCCCCTCCTCCCCCCTACCCCACCCCATCCACTCCCCAGAGAGGGTAAGGCTTCCCATGGGGAGTCAATAAAGTCTGGTACCTCTCTTTGAGGCAGGACCAGGGCTCTCCCCCCCCCCCCATATGTAGGCTGAGCAAGTTATTCCTCCAAAGAGAACGGGCTCCAAGAAGCCAGTTCAAGCACTAGGGATAAATCCTGGTCACACTGCCAGTGTCCTCACAGACTGCCCAAACCACATAACTGTCACCCACATTCAGAGGGCCCAGTTTGGTCCCATGCAGGTTCCCCAGCTGTCAGTCCAGAGTTAGCGAGCTCCCACAAGCTCATAGACCATCATCTTTATTGTGTGGCCTTGAACAAACCAGGGACCTTGAAGACTCCGTTTCCTTCTCTGGAAAATGGGTTGCAAAAGTTTAAAATAGTTAACATAAGTAAACTGTAGGCTCAGATCCTGGCATAGTCCGGGGCTCCAGACATAGGATTTCCTGCAATGCCAATTATACCAGCGTCTCTCACCGGAGCCTGCTTTCCATAAAAGGAGGGTTCCCCTACCCCAAGATGGTTTCATTTTGGATTTTCGCATGGAGTTGATGTTTCCTTTCTCTTTAACTTTCTTCCATTAGATTCCAGTTTTGAACGAGAGCCATCAGGAAAGCCATTCATACCTGAGTTATCAGTTAGCTTAATTTCGTTGTATGTGTGCGAGTGTTTTGCCTGTATGCATGTATTTGCACCGTGTGTATGCCTGGTGCTGGCAGGGTTCAGAAGAAGCTTTAGGATTCTCTGGAGCTGGAGTCACAGGTAGTTGTGAGCCACCACGTGGTGCTGAGAATCCAACCCCAGTCTTTTGCAAAAGCAGCAAGCCCTTTTTACTGCTGAGCCGTTGTTCCAGTTCCCTGATTTTAAATTCGTTTTATTATTATAACTTAAAGTGATAAAGCTAATGAGTACTCAAGGTTACAAAAACTCAGTGAAAGCCGGGCAGTGGTGGCACATGCCTTTAATCCCAGCACTTGGAAGGCAGAGGCAAGTGGATCTCTGTGAGTTCGAGACCAGCCTGGTCTGCAAGAGCTAGTTCCAGGACAGCCTCCAAAAGCCACAGAGAAACCCTGTCTCGAAAAACCAAAAAAGAAAAAAAAAAAGACTCAGTGAAAAGACACAACAATTTTCCCCTTCCTCTTCCTGTGTTCCCGAAACAAACTTCGGATCCTAGAAACAAACTTCGGATCCTACAAAAAGTTTTCCATGCATTCATACACACCTAAAAAAGTTTTCCATGCATTCATACACACCACGCATTTACACACTTCCTCCTTTTCCGGCCAGATCAAAATTGGTATTTCATGACCCATTCTGTTCCGGATCTTAAATGTTAAACTTAACAATCTGCCTTGGAGCTCTTTTCCAATCGTTAGTTGTTATTTTTTTACTTTTTAAATTGATTTACAAATAAGTTTGCCTACGGTGAGGCAGTGGAATCGTTGGACCGTTGATCATGTTATGCTTCTGTTGTTTGCATATATACTAAGGTTGGTTTGAACCTGTGGTCTTTTACATAGTGGGCTATGGCTCGCTCATCAGCAATATTCCCAGCTCGTCCCTGGGGCATCCTAAGGAGGTGTTCTACCACTGAGCCACACCCCTGCCCCCGCTGAGGGATGACTACACATACCCCATTACACCTGGTTTTCTGTTCTATCACCTGTTTAAGAAAAAAGATTTCTTTTTGTCTTTTAAATTAGGTGTATGTGTTTGTGTCTTTGGGGGAGTATATGTACATGAGTGCAGGTGCCCGCAGAGGTCAGAGGTGTCAAGATCCCCCTGGAGCTAGAGTTACAAGTAGTTATCAGTTGCTCAGTGTGGGTGCCAGGAGTTAAACCCAGGTCCTCTGCAAGAGCAGTAAACACTCTTAACTGCTGAGTCATATCTTCAGCTCCCTATTCTATCACCTGGTAAGGAGCCACCTTTCGACACTTATATCAAAGAGTAAGCTGGGGAACGTGTTCAAACCATAGCAGCAATTATTGACATGTGGCAAACCATAACCCCTTACAGTGAGGTGTGGTGGTATAGGTCTATCATCCTAGCACTTGGAAGCTGAGACAGAAGGATTACAAGTTTGAAGGCAGACTACACCATAGTGAGCTCTAGGACAAACTGGGCTACATAGTGACCGTTGTTTCAGAACAGATAAACAAAAAACAGCAACAATAAGACCAAACGAAACAAAGTAACAATTTATGGTATGTTGTTTTGAAACTGTGCCTTGGAGAAAGGGTTGGGGATTTCGCTTGGTTGGTGGATTGTTTGCCTAGCAGGCCCGGGTGTTGCATAGATGAGGAGGGAGGTGGTGGTCCTGATGGTGGCACATGCTTATAGTCCAGGAGTATTGGAAGTTCAAGGTCATTCTCCACTACATAGCCAGTTCAAGGCCTGCTAGAGTTACACAAAACCTTGTCTCAAAAAAAAAAAATTATGGAGGCGGTTTGAGGCTGTATCTCAGCGGTAGAGTGAGTGATTACCCACAGTGCGTAAGGTTCTGGGTTCAGTCATTGGCACACAAACAAATTATGGGTCAGACCTTCATTTGGGCTGCCAGCTCACAAATAATGGCAAGGAGACTTATTAAATATGAAACCTTGGTCATTAGCTTAGGCTTGTCTCACTAGCTCTTTTTTTTTTTGTTTTTTGTTTTTGTTTTTTTTTGTTTTTGTTTTTTGAGGCAGGGTTTCTCTGTGGCTTTGGAGGCTGTCCTGGAACTAGCTATTGTAGACCAGGCTGGTCTCGAACTCACAGAGATCCGCCTGCCTCTGCCTCCCGAGTGCTGGGATTAAAGGCGTGAGCCACCCGGCCTCACTAGCTCTTATAATTTAAATTATGCCATGTTTTTATTAATCTATGGTCTTCCACGTGGCTTTTACCTCCCTCTTCCCTCCGGTTCTGTGTGTCCAACTCTTCCACGTCTCCATGGTGTTCCCGCCTTTCTTCCCAGAGTTCTCACTGACCCTGGAAGTCCTGCCTAACCACTTCCTGCCTAGCTATTGGCTATTCAGCTCTTTATTAAACCAATCAGAAGGTGCCCTGGCAAAAACATACCTTCACAGTGTGAACAGATATTCCATAACAAAACACTCCAAGTTAGAGGTGGGCATTCTTGGTACTTAAGGGAAGGAGCATCATAAGATGAGGGAGGGGTCTCCTCTGCTGTCTTCCCCACGGATACTCTGGGGCAGATAGGAGTTTTCCTGTCTTCCTCTTCTCTTCTGCCCCAAACCCACCAAGGTCCCCCATGCAAGGTTCCCCCTCACGCTTTTTTTTAAAGATTTATTTATTTACTTATTATGTAGGGCACCAGATCTCATTATAGATGGTTGTGAGCCACCATATGGTTGCTGGGAATCGAACTCAGGACTTCTGGAAGAGCAGCCAGTGCTCTTAACCTCAGCCATCTCTGTGGTCTTATCGTAACAGGCATGGTTGTGCAAGCCTTTAATGCCAGCCCTGAGGAGGCAGAGGCAGGTGGATTTCTGTGAATCATAGGCAAGCCTGGCCTACGGAGCTAGTTCCAATACAGCTATGGGTGCTACACAGAGAAACCCTGCCTTGAAAAACAAAACAAAACAAAAACAGCTCAATGTTAGAGCGCTGTAATTTTCATCTGGTTTGGGCCATCTGTAATTGCACTCGGGCCCTCCCCTCCTTTATAGAGATGTATGATCAAGAGAGATGGGTGTCTGTCCAATTTCTGCTTGGTCCCCTGAGGCTTCTGGAATGGAGGGTCCTGAGAACCCAAGCACTTTTCTTTTAAGCTCCCCCAGCCTCATCCCCCCCGCCACGGCTGGGGGCTCATCCTGCTGCAGTTGTGACTCCTGGAGTGAACGTAACCTTGAGGTGCCGGGCACCCCAACCTGCCTGGCGGTTTGCACTCTTCAGAACCGGCGTCGTTACCCCCCTGCGCTTCCGGGATGTGGCCACGGAGCTGGCTGAGTTCTTCCTGGAGGAGGTGACTCTGGCCCAGGGGGGCAGTTATTACTGCCGCTACCGCAGGACAGACTGGGAACTGGGTGTCTGGTCCCAGTCCAGCAATGTCCTGGAACTGCTGGTGACAGGTGAGGTTCGGGAGGAATGGGAGAAGGGAACTGGAGTGAGATTCAGGTGGAGTGTGGGGGTGGGGTGGGGTCACAAGGAGGGAGACATAGGGAGGTAGACGGAAAGATTCTCGAACATGCGGGAAGAAGAGGGTGAGCTTGGGGGCTGGGAAGAGAGGCAGAAGAGAAGGGAGGAGGAAGGGAAGATAGACGAGCCAGCCTATTTAAGACCTTACCTGTGTTCCATAGTTCAGCTGCCCAGACCATCACTGGTGGCACTGCCTGGACCTGTGGTGGCCCCAGGAGCCAACGTAAGCCTGCGCTGTGCAGGCCGCATGCCAGGCATGAGTTTCGCGCTGTACCGCGTGGGCGTGGCGACCCCTCTGCAGTACATCGACTCTCTGCAGGCCTGGGCTGACTTCCCCCTGGTGGGCGCCAGTGCCCCGGGCACCTACAGTTGCTATTACCACACGCCCTCTGCCCCCTATGTGCTGTCACAGCGCAGTCAGCCACTGGTCATCAGCTCCGAAGGTGAGGTGTTCTGGTCCTTCTGCAGACCCAAGGGTCCCCAGGGTCCAGGGACATCAACCCCAATTCCGCTTAGAGACTTGGGAGTTGAGTCTGCGACTCCACCTGCGTGTGTCAGATATGCAGAAGACCGTCATGACTCTGGGACAAGGGACCAACACCCTGTCTCCCTCCCCTTGGCCTACAGGTTCTGGCTCCTCGGACTATACTCAGGCAAACCTCATTCGTTTGGGGCTGGCCGGCCTGGTCCTCCTCTGCATGGGCACCTTAGTTACCGTTGACCGGCGCAGCAGGAGCTCCGCTCTTGGTGGCCTCCCGCCCCAGAAAAACAGGGTGTAGCCGCGTGGGGTGAGAAGAGACTGCCTGGAGATGGGCAGCGAAGCCGGGAGCCTTGGTGGCTGATTGCTGCGGAACATTCCAGGCCTCCAGACTCCACTATTAACCCCTTCACCTTTTTTTTTTGTTGTTTTGTTTTGTTTTGTTTTTTGTACTGTAGCTTCCTGCTGGGTCCTCTCCTAGACCTTCGAGGGGAGTGGACAACACGGCTGTATTTTCTTTGATTGTAAAATGGTGTGATACCACATTATTACACTTGTTGAAGGATTAAAAGCAGTGACCGGCCTATGGTAAATGATGCTCAGTGAATGTTAGTGACTTTATCCTTCCTTGGAAACCCCTTCCCTCCTCATGTCCCTTTCTCCCATCTCCCTTCTAACCCCCTCACCTAGGTTCATTCATCCATACTCAGAAATATCATATATATATTGGTATTTTGAGTCAGGGTTTCCTCTGTGTAATTTTGGTTGTCTTCTGTAGACCAGGCTGACCTCAGACTCAGAGACCTACCTGTCTCTGTCTCCCGAGTGCTGGGATTAAAGGCATGTGCCACCACCACTCAGCTGCTATAATTATATATTTTAAGGAATGATACACATGCCTCAGCATGTGTATGGAGATGAGAAGATTAAATTTCGGGAGTTGATTTTTGTCTGCATTCAGTGGGTCCCAGGGTTTGAACTCAGGCTGCAGGCTTAGCGGCAAGCATGTTACCCACTGAGCCATCTGGCTGGCCCCTGGCCATTTATTTTGTTTACATGTATGAGTGTTTTGCCTGTATGTATGTCCGTGTATGACTTGCAGGCCTAACTCCCTGAGGAGGCCAGAAGAGGACATCTGGGCATCTGGAATTGGAGTTACAGATGGGTGTGAGTCATCATGTGGGTGCTGGGAGCCGAACCAAGGTCCTCTAGACGAGATGCCAGTAGTGTTAACTGCTAAGCCATCTCTCCAGGCCCTCGGATTTGCAGATTAAAATCCTCATTTTTTTTCCTTCCAATGTTTCAGTTTTTGCTTTTTAGTGCAGGGTACTAAACCAAGTACTTTACCCCTAAGCTACAATCGCAGGCCCGTGGCAAATTTAAAATAAAAGTCAAGAATTAACTTTTGATGTTATGGAAACAGAGTCTCATTCTATAACTGAAAATAGCTCGAACTCGCAGAAATGCTCCTGCCTCAGCCTCTTGGGTGCCAGGATTGCAGGTATGAGCTACCTTACCCAGCTGGAGAACTCTTTTTGAAGGGTGATTACTGTGTTGGAATTTAAAATAACTTTTTTCCCACACAGTAAACCCCTTTATCATACAGTTTTTTCTTTTTAAAAGATTTATCTATTAGCCAGGCACTGGTGGCATATACCTTTAATCCCAGCACTCGGGTGGCAGAGGCAGGGGGATCTCTGTGAGTTCGAGACCAGCCTTGTCTACAAGAGCTAATGCCAGGACAGCCTCCAAAGCCACAGAGAAACCCTGTCTCGGAAAACCAAAAAAAAAATTTTTTTACTCATGAATAGTGTTCTGCGCCGGGCGTTGGTGGCGCACACCTTTAATCCCAGCATTCGGGAGGCAGAGGCAGGTGGATCTCTGTGAGTTCGAGGCCAGCCTGGTCTACAGAGCGAGTTCCAGGACAGCCTCCAAAGCCACAGAGAAACCCTGTCTCGAAAAACAAAAACAAAAACAAAACAAAACAAAAAACAAATGAATAGTGTTCTGCCTGCATGTATGCCTGCGGGCCAGAAGGGGGCACCAGATCTCATTACAGATGGCTGTGAGACACCATGTAGTTGCTCTGGCCAGTGCTCTTTCCTGCTGAGCCATCTCTCCATCCGTACCTATACATTTTTACAAGCAGGCATTCATTAAGAACAACCTTTGGTCTGGTTAGAGGCCCCTAGTATCTGCTACACTGTCGCCGCCAAGCCCTCTATGGGACTCTTCCTGGACATCTCGTTACTTCTCTGTGTCCTGGAGATTCTGTAGCCCTGGGTCCACAGAAACACTCAACCCCTCCCCGCCCCCATGCTCCAGGAGATCACAGATGGGGTTTACCCCTTGCGGAGAAGAAGAGCAAGGGACAGGGGCAGTTCTCTGGCTCTCGTGTCCTCGGGGTCAGCTCAGTAGCAACCCAGTAGTGTTGCTCAGGTAGGTATAGGGGCCACTCTCCAGAGTTCTGCAGCTGGTGAGGGGCAGGGACTCAGGGCCGGTTCTTCCACCTGCCCTGGGCTGGGGTTGTGGGGGAGGGCATCTCTCCCGGACCCCAGCTGCCACATGACAGATGAGTAGTACAATAAGGTTTTACATGTTAATTATGCACACACTGCCCTCACACTGGATTAGGAGATCTGGGGCTATGTTGATCCTGACCTGATGCTGTCTGGACACTGAAAATCTCCACTGAAAAATCACTGCGACCACACACACGACAGAAACAAAGCAAGGACCGTTTATCTCGGCCTCTGGTTTCAGAGGATTCAGTGCGTGCATTCAGCTCCATGTGAACAATATAGCGGAGAAGCTTCTTGGAGGGACAGGAAGCAGAGGCTCCATCATTTCCTTCACCACGTCCCCCTTGTTTGCCAACCAAACCAAACCCTTTTAAACTCCTTCTCCGACTTTATTCCAAAGTAGACCAAATGCAGAGCAAGCAGCGCTCCCACCAGAATTAAAAGCACAGTAGCGTGTTACGGGGATTCTGTGACGGTCTCGCTGTCCAATTGGAAAGAGCGGTTTAGTCCGAGAGGCGGGTTTTACCCTGGGGATGGGGAGGAGGCGGAGCGGGAGGTTGCTCGGCCTTTTCCAGGGAGGTAGCTGGCCACAGGGCTGTGAGCGGTGGCCTGTGATTGGTCCAGGTTCCCCCTTTTGTTCTTTGATACTGATGCATGGATTTTGTATTTTAATAGACGATAAAGGAAATCTTAAGGTTTTAAAGCGCCCTGTCTAGATCCGTACGGTACCTTGGATGGGGGATTACGTTGCCAGGGCAACAGTAAACAGCTCGCATAGTAGAACTTTGACCTGGAAACCGTCCCTCTTGGTCTGCTTCCCACTAGGCTCTTGGCTGCCCTCGAGTTTTAAAAATAACACAAACCATTTTGCAGCCTGTTTTCCCAACTTGTTATGTCTCTTACCTACCAGAGCGTGGCTGCTTTCCAGGATCACCCGCCTTTATTCATTTAACTTCTCTTTCTTTTCTAACAAAACAAATCTGGAAGCGATTGCTGCCGCTCTGCATTCCTGCCGACTTCGGCTCCAATCCTGGTGGAGCACACGCCCTCTCCGGCGATAGACTTCTCAACGTCCAGCCCTTCTCTTTCCAATTCATGGAGATGAAGATTTGGATTTGTGGGTTTCGTTTGTGTGTTGTTTGTTTTTGACACAGGGTTTCCAACACATGGAAAAAAGACAGAAAGACAGAAACTAATTTCCTCATGACCCCTTTTCCTTTCTTTCTTTCTTTCTTTTTTTTTTTTTTTGAGATAGGGCTTCTTTGGATGTCCCAGAACTAGCTCTGTAGACCAGACCCAGGCTGGCCTCGAACTCGCAGATATCCTCCTGCCTCTGCTTTTCCAGTGCTGGGATTAAAGATGTGTGCTCCCACTGCCCAGCTCTTTCTTCTTTCCTTCCTTCCTTCCTTCCCTCTTTCCTCCCTCCCTCCCTTCCTTTTTCTTTTCTTTTCTTTTCTTTCATACAGGGTTTCTCTGTGAAACAGTCCTGGCTGTCCCAAAACTCACTCTGTAGACCAGGTTGGCCTCCAACTCATAGAAATCCACCTGCTTCTGCCTCCTGAGTGCTGGGATCAAAGGCGTGTGCCACCACCACCCAGCTTCTTTGTTTCTTCTTCTTCTTCTTTTTTTTTTTTTTGTTTTTTTGTTTTTTGGTTTTTCGAGACAGGGTTTCTCTGTAGCTTTGGAGGTTGTCCTGGAACTCGCTTGGTAGTCCAGGCTGGTCTCGAACTCACAGAGATCCGCCTGCCTCTGCCTCCAGAGTGCTGGGATTAAAGGCATGCGCCACCAACGCCCGGCTTCTTTGTTTCTTCTTAAAAATATATTTTAATATTTTTTTTGGACAGGGACAGAGTAAGGACAAAGTTTACATCACAACCCTATATGCAAATTTTCCGAATATGGTGGCTGGAGGGGTGGCTCTAGGGTTAATCACTGGTACCACATTTGCAAAGGATTCAAGTTCTGTCCCCAGCATCATCCATGACAAACACCTCATATCACCTGTAACTCCAGCTCCAGAGGATCAATGCCTTTTGCCTCAATGGGTACCTGTGTGCACATACATGATTAAAAATAATAAAAACAAACCTTAGAAGCAAATTGTTACATGTAATGTATTTAGTGTGTAAAGTCAAATTACACACACACACACACACACACACACATATATATGCACACACGGGTATATGGTGAGTGTGTTCAGGTTTCATGTTCTAAAGTTTCCTTCTACATGCTCGCACACTGCCATGGTCTAACCTGTGTAAAATGCCCCTCACAAGACTGGAGAGATGACCCACCAGCTCACAAAGCTTTTTATAGAGCTCAGGTAATTTCCACTCACATCAGGAAAAAGCTATTAGAATTCCAAAGGAAAACCCCAGGACAGGCAAGCTGTAAATCTCAGCAGCTGCTCAGAGGAGAATGGAGAAGAGAAACAAAGCCCATGCTGTCTGAACTAAGACAGCATGGAGGTCAGCCACAGCGTGGGGAGAGGAGCGTTGGGGGTAAAACAAGGAGGGCCAAACTACCTGGGAAAGCATACTCAGGCTCTGGTCAATATCCAAAAGAAAAACACAGAGTAGAATGTAAGTGGAGTTTTCCTGTCCCGATCGCCCGCTCCCAAATAACCACTCAGAATCTTAATGTTAACTATAAATGCTTGACTGATAGCTCAGACTTACTACTAACCAGCTCTTACAACTTGAATTAACCCACTCCTATTAGTCTAAGTGTTGCCCTGTGGCATTTACCTCTCTGGCAGGTCTGCCTTACTCTGTGTTTGGCTGACCACTCCTTTGGCTCCGCCCTCCTTTCCGGCGTCCTTGGTTTTCGTTGACCCGCCTATCCTTCCTGCCTGGCTAAACTGCCAACCATTTTATAAAATCAAAACAAATGACAAATCTTCACAGTGTACAAAAGGATCGCTCCACAGCAGTAGATAAAGTCAGGATTCAGAAAGGTGGGCAGACCCAGCTAAGCCACAGAATACCTTGCAGGGTCTGAGTCAGAGCAGGCATTCTGGGAGAACAAAGTGCAGTATCACATTAAAGGGATAATTACTACTCCTATTCCTT